AAGAAAGAAAAGAGCAGAGCCAAGGTAATCCCAGAGAAGCAAAGGTAGTTATAGCATGCCATGACTGGCACCTGTCCTACTTTTAGACCTAATATTTTATGGGGTAAAATACCCTTTTATTGTTTAAGCCACTTTGGGCTGGAGTTTCTATCATTTGAAGTAAAAGGCAATAACTGATATGGACTGCTTTGTCTCAGGATGGGGATTTGGTATAAAAGGGAGAAGAGAGAGATAGCAGATAGTATTAAATGTTAGGTGATTCAGAAAGACAAAATTCACATTTGGGGTAAGAGAACCAATTTGGTGATGCTGAAGCAAAAGGGCTTTGGGGTTAAGCCAGGTAATCAAAAACAAGTCTAAGTCTCCTATATGATCAGTTTCCTATTGAGGACTTACCACTGAACAGCAATGACCTCTTCTTCCTCCCAAAATAAATAAATGGAAAAAAGGTAAGAAAGTCTTCCTCATCTAGCAGTTTCCATGGAAAAATTCTTTTGTGAGGGTCTAGAGCTTACCACGGTATAGGGATTGTGAACTTCATTCATTTACTGAATTCATTCATTCAGTCAGTCAACAAATACATATCTGAGGAGATACCACGTGCCAGGCATATTAGTCAACAAGTCAGACATAGTGCCTGACCTAGGAATATACATTTAGTGTGGGACAAAGGTGTTATAAATTTATTTATTGGTTAATTAAAAATTATGGTAAGTGCTTTAAAGGAATAGAAAAGGGTGCTATAACAGAAACACTAGGGGCAAGGTTTGAGCCTTCAATTAAGAAAATAGATTGAGGGAATCAGCCAGTCAACATGTGAATAAGTGACATTAAGTTGAGAACTAAAAGATAAATGGGAATGAGTGCCGGGCACAGTGGCACACACCAGTAATCTCAGTACTTTGGAAGTCTGAGGCCAGTAGATTACTTGAGCTCAAAAGTTTCAGACCAGCCTGAGCAACATGGCAAAACCCTGTCACTACAAATATAAAAAAATTAGCCTGATTTGACAGTGTGTGCCTATTGTCCCAGCTACTTAGGAGGCTGAGGTGGGAGGATTGCCTGAGCCCTGGAAGCAGAGGTTGCAGTGAGCTGAAATCACGCTACTCCTCTCCAGTGATGTGAGATGAATTTGGAGAGGGAGGGACGCAGGGACTCTCTTGGCAAAGCCAAGAATTTTGGATTTTACTAAGTGTGATGAGAAACGCCTAAAAATTTTAAATTAAGGAAGTGACATGAAAAAAAGTTACATTTATAAGTGATCCCTACATCAGCTGCACTAGAGTACATAGGAGTTGGGCAAGAAAGTCACCAATTGCTACTGCCAAAGTCCAGGAGATAAACCAGATAAATGGTGCTTGGACTAGGGTGGTGGCAATGAATAGAGAGATAAATGGGTGAGAAATATTTTGGATGATGAGAGAAACAGAAGGGTTACGGATGCTTCCTAAGTTTCAGTTTAAACAAATGTGTAAAAGAAAGGTGCCATTTACTGAGATAGGGAAGATGGCAGAGGAAGCAGGTTTTGGATCAAGCAAAGATCAAGGGTTCAGTGTACGATGCTTTTAAGATATCCCAGTGGATATATCAAGTAGGTAGCTGGTTGTAAAATTCTGAAGAGAGGTCAGGATCAAAGGAAAAAGATTAGGTGTCATCGACAGATGGCATTTAAAGTTGCAGGGATGGATGAGTTTATCTAGGGAGATGAAGAATACAAATTAGAAGAATAGAAGTGAGAGATGAGAAGCCTGAGGAATTTCATACTTTAAAGGATAAGAGAGGCTGGGTGCAGTGGCTCATGCCTACAGTATCCCATCACTTTGGGAAGCTGGGGCATGAGGATCACTTGAGCCCAGGAGTTCTAGACTGGCCTGGGCCACATAGTAAGATACTATCTTTAAAAATAAAAATAAAAAAATTAGCTGGGTGTGGTGGTGAGCACTGGTGGTCCCAGCTACTCAGGAGGCTGAGGCAGGAGGACTGCTTGAATCCAGTAGGTCGAGGTTGCAGTGAGCTGTTTGTGCCACTGCACTCTGGCCTGGACAACAGAGCGAGATCCCATCTCTAAATAAATAAATAAAAGGATGGGAAAGGAAGACCCACCAGTGGAGATAAGGTTAGTTAAAACTAGAAGAGGTCTGCCATACTGAAAGATGAAAGTTTCCAAAAGGAGCAAGTGGTCAATTGAATTGATTACAGGGAAGAGAAAAATGTCCCTTGATTTCAGCACCAAGGAGGTCACTGATTGCCATTGTAAGGCTGTCAGGGGGATGGAGTTCAGCTGCTAATACCAGAAGCATCAATTTACAGTGAATTAACCCCTATGCCATCAGGGTTCATTAGATTCAATTATAGATTTTGAGGTTTTCTTCCCTGAGAGCTTGTTTGTTTTTAAACAGGGTCTCACTCTGTCACCCAGACTGGAGTGCAATGGCACGATCAAGGCTCACTACAGCCTCAACTTTCCAGGCTCAAGTAATTCTCCCACTTCAGCTTCCTGAGTAGCTGGGACCACAGGCACATACCACCACGCCTAATTTATTTTTAACGTTTTGTAGAAATATAGTCTCACTGTGTTGCTTAGGGTGGTCTTTAACTCCTGGCTAAAGCAATCCTCCTGCCTCAGCCTTTCAGAGTGCTGGGATTACAGGCATGAGCCACTGTGCCTGGCTGGTTCCAAGTGCTTATAAGGATGGCTATTTTGTTATTTTTATTTGTTCTTAGATTCCTACTTTTTCCCCAAAAAAGGTAAATTTCCCTTTTAAAAAATAAAACTCTATCTTGCAAGTCTCACATAGGGTCCACTGGACCTTTTCATAACTTAACAGGATCTTGGTTATTCTGATTTCCTCTAGCTCCAGAAATTTTGCTGTATCACGATCCTAGAAATTATTTCAACATTATTCAGCAATTATTCCCAACTGTACAAAACAAGCTAAAAATAGGAAGGTGGGTGTTATAACAGAAAAACTGGGGACAAAAGTGAAATAAATCATTGCTATTAGATGATTCTTCCATTATCTTACTGTAATTCCCAAAACACTTTACCATCTTTTAATAGGGTAGAAAAAAAATCTGGAGACATTATTTTCATAGTATTTGTTGTTGTTTATTAAAGCTTATGTTGATAAATATCCAGATTTTTTCATTTTTTCCCATAATGGCCAAGAGAAAATTGATAAAGAAAAACATTTCTGATAATTAGAAAAAGCAGATGTCTAATGCAAAAAGACAGAGTACTCTATACTTTAAAGATGATGGTGTAATTGTATTTATTTATTTTATTATAGAGACAAGATCTTGCTCTGCACTCCCAGGCTGGAGTGCAGTGGTGTGATCACAGTTCACTGCTGCCTCAAACTCCTAGGCTCAAGTGATCCTCCTGCCTCAGCCTCTTGAGTAGGTAGGACTATGGGTGTATACCACCATGCTTGGCTATTTTTTAAAATTTTTGTGGAGAGAGGGTCCCATACTGTTACCCAGACTGGTCTTAAACTCCTGGGCTCAAGCAATCCTCTCACCCAGGCCTCCCAAAGTGCTGGGATTTATTGGTGTGAGCCATCGTGCCTGGCCTGAAACATATAAGTGAAATCTCAGACTATGAGTCTTTAGATGATGATATCCTAGATAAATTTTCTCAAACTCAAGAACTGACAATTCAACAATATATACCTAAGGATAAAAAGGAAATAGGGTATTCTCATCCACTTTGGCATTTAATAGGAATTACTTCCTTATTCAATACTTTGCAACAAGAACCTGAGCCATCCTAAAAAAGTATGACATATTGTCATCTTTTATGATGCTGTGCATCCAATATACTTCATATAGTTTATAAGATAACAAATGATAAAGGCAGATGTATATATACAAAGGTGAAAAGAAGGAAATCTATAAGGACGAGATGAAAAAATTCATTGAATTGCTCATTCTAATTAGTGTTTAAAGATCTAAAAATGAAAATATTTTGCAACTAAGAAACAAAGAAAATATCTATTATCTCTTCAAAAAAAATGATGAGTCATCAAAGTTTTCAAAAGCACTGCTTCTTATTTATTCAAGTGCAAGCAGCACAAAGGTAATAAGTCAGAATCATTAGAGATGTATTTGAGGCCAGGTGTGGTGGCTTATACCTGTAATCCCAGCACTTTGGGAGGCTGAGGCAGGTGAATGACTTGTGGTCAGGAATTCGAGACCAGCCTGGCCAGTATGGTGAACGAAACCCTGTCTCTACTAAAAATACAAAAAATTAGCCAAGCGTGGTGATGGTTGCCTGTAGTCCCAGCTACTCCAGAGGCTAAGGCATGAGAATTGCTTGCACCCAGGAGGCAGAGGTTGCAGTGGGCCGAGATTGTGCCACTGTACTCCAGCCTGGGTGACAGAGTGAGACTGTTTCAAAAAAAAAAAAAATGAATTTGAAACCTGGAATCAATATTTATAAGATGATTGTGTTCCTGATTCATATATGCTGATTGATAAGTAGTCAGCTTTGTTTAAAGAACATTGTTCATTAGGGTAAATATTCCTTCAAATGCAGGAAAAGATAGAATAAAAAACTAGGCTTGCTATATTTAAATTTTTTAAGAATTATTTTTCACTATTCCTTTATTCTTAGTTCTGTAAATGATTTGCAAAATGACTTAACAGTATGAAAAAACAGAACAGGACCATTGGTGATGAGTATTTTCTCTGGCATATTGAGAGATAAACATATCGGTATTATTTTGTCTCATATAACAAGCAATAAAGAGGAGGATAGAAAACATGAACTGGCCTCAGCCTCTTATAGACTGGTCTCTAAGAAAATAGAAATACTATCCCACCTAATGGAGGGTGTCAGCTTAGGGTAGAGAGATTGTGGTCACTAATGCCATCAAGGAACCAGCTCGCTTCTATGTCTCTTTGCCATCTCTGGTCCTGGTTTCATCCTTAGGCTTGTAGCAACAGAGCTGTGGCATTAGACCTAGACATGTAACATCCAAAGGAAGAAAAAAACCTACCTCTCTGCCTCATAAAGAGTGAAGAAACTTTTTCCAGAATTACTCCTTCTCTTCCAGTTCCTTTCCCTCTAGCCTCCTGTTAGGAATAAGGGTGACAGGTATTACTAGGCTACAAATAGTATCAGTGCCAGTCTAACTGCAGAAGCAGAACTAAAACAACCTACAGAATATACACTAATTGAAGAGAACTGTCACCAGGACTCAGAACGGACCAGACTAAGTAAGTCAGCCCTTTACAACTTGCCCTTTCCCATTTTAGTGTTGTTCCGTCATCTCCAAGCATTCAGGAGATTGTCTTATTCCCTGCTCCTTTTGACAGCTGCATACAATAACAGCCAGCTAGTATATTCTCTGAGATAGGGTGAGTGGGAAGAGGTGAATAAGGGAGATGTATGGAACTGGGTGATGGGCCACGTGACCAGTGCTGGAGCTTGAGATTATGACAAGCCTCAAGGATCAGGCAGTGACCAATGGATGATGAGCAAAAGATTCAGTTTTTGTAGAGGCTTTGAATAGCCAGGGGGAAAAAAAAAAAAGACTGGGAGAGCTGGTTAGAGCTGTATCCCAGAACTTTGTTGGCCAGGATTTTTGTATACTTTAAAAATCCAAAGCAGGAGGTGTGGCCAGAACCAGGATGAGAAAGAATGTGATGCTGAGAGGAGGCAAAGGGAGAAAGAGGGAGAGGGGAAGCATTTTGATTCCTTTTGTCTCCTTTAAGTGAAGTCCTGGCTTTAATAGTTTTAAATATCCAGTCAAAACCAAAATTGAAGATGATGGCTGGAACAGGTTATGATTTTTTTAATTGCCTCTTTTGGATGATCTTGTCTATTTGGACTGCGTTAGAACTACAAGAGTCCCAGGAAGTGAGGAATGAGCCACAATATGTCAAATTCCTCTTCCATATGCAGTTACAAAAGCTGCTAGGCTCACGAGGAGCATGCCGATTTTAGTTTGGAGAATAAAGGACATTTTCTGACCAAGGATGGAGTAAGAAAAGGTGGTGTGTTGCTGACCATAGTATGGCCTGGGACTGTGTCTGAAAGGTACAACGTATCAGGCCAATACCTTCTATATAGCATAGTGACCAACACTGGCAGCCCTAGGAGGGAAAGGCCTTCGGGAGACAGAAATAGCAATGCTGCCAGTCAGGGTTCTGTGGACACTCTTGCAAAAGGATGATTGCTCATCAGGAGAAACACTTAATCCACCATTTTAACAGTAAAAATCTGAAGGAAACAATGACTAAGTTTCCGTTTCTACCACCTTTCTTTTACCTTTGTGAAATTTCAGCACATTATTCACAGCTGGTTCCCAACCAAGTCCAGAAACTAACACAATTAAAAAAAAAAAGAAAGAAAATGCAAATTAAAATAGGCCCAGATTAGGTATTCTTGATTACTTAGGGTTTTGGAAATACTTTTCTCTTTTTTAGTCTCCAGGAGTCCTCCTCTCAACAAGTGTGAGAGAGCCCAGGGGTGAAGTCACTGTTCACTGCTCATGGAGAAGCTAGAAGAGGCATGGCTGGGATCTTACCAACTTTAGCTCTATTTCCCATCCTCAGAAAAATTCGTGAAGCCAAACGCTGTAAAACATAGATTAAGAAGTTGCTTTGAATCTGGTAACATGTCCTACAGTGGCTGTTTAGAGCCCTGCACCACCAAGGATTAAATCCCAAAGGGGAGTGGAGTGGGGCAGGGCAGGAGAGTGGACTGAAACACCCGAACTCCTCTCTTCCTCAAACCAAGTATCTGCGGTTGATCACAGACCATTATACCGTAATTGTTAAATATGCAATAGGAAAACAATCCCTTCTTATAAAATATTTTAAGTTTCTAAATCTATGTAGTGAGTTCCGTGTGTGTGTGTCTGTATGTGTGTGTGTGTGTGTGTGTGTGTGTGTGTGTTTTAAAGGGGGAGCTTAACATTTCAAACGCAACTTCTTATATAACCGCGGTATGGTGGCCCAAGACGCCAAACAGAACAAATGATTTGGATAAACAGTTTAAATTCTGTTAAAGCCTGCAGGAATCTAATCTGGATATGGAAGAAACCTGCCAAAACCCTGTGATGCTGTGTGATTCAAGTCACAGCCCCGCGAAGCGGCCACCGCACGTACCAAGCCCTCTCCCCTAGCACTCGCCTTCAGTGAACCGGCTCTTGTACCTGAACAAAGCGAGGACAAGTTCAGGGGCTTTGTCTTTAAAGAACAAAGATCGGCCTAGCTGCACGCTCCAAGTGCGAAAGAGCGAAGGCTCCGGGGGATCCCCACGCCGCTCGCGGAGCTGCGCCCTGGCGGCTGCCGCCGCCCCCGGGCCCCTTTAAGTGCCGCATCGCCCCCGTCCCGGTCCCCCGCGTGCCGGGAGTCACTGAGCCGTCCGCCCGCTACAGGCCGCGCCACCCGCCTCCCGCCTCCCGCTGGGGTTACGTGAGCCCGGGGCGGGCGGCCGCCGGGCCAATGGCCGCCGCCGGGGCCTCCGCGCTCCTCCCGCGCCGCCGCCGCCGCTGTGGGGCTGCGGGCTCCTCCCGCAGGAGATAACTGTCAGCGCGCGAGGCGGCGGCGGGCCGGCTCAGTCATATGACCGGCAGCCGGCGGCCCCGGCGCCTAGCAGAGTTACTCAGCCGCAGCGGCCCCGCGCTCCCGCAAGGCTGGGCGGCCGCGCTGCCGCGATGGCCCCGCCACCGCGGCCGCCGCCCCCGGCTGCGCGCTGAGCCGCCGGCCTCCAGAGCGCCAAGGCCGGAGCTGCGGCGGCTGCGGCGGCGGCATCATGGCCCCGACCCTGCTCCAGAAGCTCTTCAACAAAAGGGGCAGCGGCGGCAGCTCCGCGGCGGCGTCTGCCCAGGGCAGGGCTCCTAAGGAAGGACCCGCCTTTAGGTGAGGGGGCACTGGGGGGCGAGTCTGGCGCGGGACCGGAGTTGGCTTCGATGCTCGCCGGGGAGGGGACGGGGTGGGGAAGGGGAAGGGGCTGCCCCGGACGGCGCTGCCCATCGCCGGCACCCGGTTCCGGGCTTGTCAGCGGGGACGCGCCTGATCCTAGTGTGGCTCCGGACTTTCCTTGACCCTTCTTCCCCTCTCTTTCTCCACTGCTCGGGGTCCTTCCCCCTTTCAGAGTTCTCTTGTGTTCCTTGGGGTTCCCAGGCGTGCGCTGTACTTGGCTGTGGCGACGGGAGAGTCTCCGGTTATTGGGGTGAACCCCTTCTGGGCAGAGCCGCTTGGGTGCCTCTGCGGGCCCTGCAAAGCTGTGAGCTGTCATTTTGAGGGCAGCTCCAACCTATTGTGTACGTGACAGTGTTTGGAAGTTGCGAAGGAGCAACAGTCACAAAAAAATGCATCTTTCTTCTTTTTTGCCATATATGACAAGCTCTCAAACGGATGAATGAAAGCATGTAATTTCCACATCATTTGGAAGGTTGATGCCGCATGATGTGTGGAAAGGGGGAGTAAGAGGCAATTATGGAATTTCCGAGATTTCAGTTGATTAGAGCTGATGTGTATGTTTAATAGATTTGATCTCCCGAACACATACCTTTGAATATTGATAGCATTTATGGAGAGCTTACTATCTTAAATGCTTTATGTTGATTTCCGTCTCGTTTACTTTTCTAACAATGCAGTGAGGCAGGCGCTATTATGATTCCCATTTTACAGGTGTGGAAACTTAAAGTCGCAGAGAACTTAGGCAGCTTGCCCGAAATCCACACCTGTCAGTGGTAGAGCCAGCGTTTTGACCCAGGCAGTTTGACCACAGAATACTGTCTTTAAAAATCCCTATGCTATTGTGATTTCAAGGGCTAACTTTAAAAGATACCTTAAAATGTCCTATATTGCCTTTGAGGGCACACATATGTTGAGAAGTTTATTTATCTTTAACAATTTTTCAGCACATTTTAAAATTGAACATCAACTCCCAATTCTGACACTCTGCGAGGTGCTTTTTGGTCAAAATGTCTTGCAAAAACAGTTTATTGTTAAACAGATCTAGACCCAGTATAATAAACCTTTTAAAAGTTTCAAGTGAAACTTTGAACTAAATTCTGGATTAAGTTTTATGTTCTAGATTTTGCTTTTCTTGAATTCCATTATTTAAAACATGAAACTTTGAACTAAATTCTGGATTAAGTTTTATGTTCTAGATTTTGCTTTTCTTGAATTCCATTATTTAAAACAGTCTCTGTAGTCATGTGAAAATTAAATAACTTGTGTGTGTGTGTGTGTTTGTGTGTGCACTTGGAAGGCATATTGTGAGGACTTTAAACTTCCCAAGTTAAATTTTCATGTTTTCTTTAGGCTAACAAGCCTTATAATTTGAGTGGGGAATTCTATGCCTTTTGCTAGTCTGAGTATTAGTAATGCCATGGACCTCCTCAGAATGATAGAATTACTTCGGACCCAAGGTGTGTAATTTCTTCCCTTCCCTCTCTGTAACCCAGACTCCATCCAGGGTACAGAGCCAGGAGCAGATGGGGCATGGGTATTACAAGTGTCTGTACGTTGTTAGCTCTTGCCAAGGACATTTAAAGCCATTTGAATTCAGGAGGAGATAGTGGCGGTTACATTGTCATTGTGTTCAGTGCTCCTTGCCCAGTTGCCCACCATCATTTCCTCTTTCCACAAGTTTAACTGAGTTTATTTGAAAAAAAAAAAAAAAAAAAATGGTGGCTATATTTAGGGCTTTGGGCCATATTAGGGAAATTGATTCCCACCTTGTGGGAACATTTTCAGTAGTATTCTGACTTCTCATTGGTGTACAATGAAGAACAGAAAATTGTGCCAAGTTACCATCTTTTTTTTTTTTTTAACCTCATTAGAATTTTCTACAAGTATTTGAGGTCAATGTTTTTGGAGAATTTGGGGATCCCAGTTGATCATCCTACTTGATGAGGGTCCCCTTCAGTAGTATCCCTGATACAGGTCACCATGGAAAAGAAAGTAAAGTAGCAGATGTGAGCAAGGATGCCGGAAAATGTGAACAAGTCATCCTGTGCTTACCAGACTGACCAAGGAGACCCCAAGCAAGTCTTTCCTTTTGCTCTTTTACCTGGCCTAACGCTAAGGTGCTGTGTAGCTGGACTGGGAAAAGCCTCCAGGAAAATTTTTCTCTCTACCTAAAAATTTGTGCACCTGTGTTTCATTTTACCCAGATTTGGCCAAATAGGAGCTGGTATGTACTTCCGGGGGAACAAGGTGCCTTATGCAGAGCATTAGTTGCCCTTGGGAGCCTACCTTGTAGTTGAATAGAGTTTTAGAAGTTATGGTAAAACCCTTAGATTATAAATCAAGTATTCCTAACATGAATTTGTATTACAGGATGTAACTTGTATGTAGTTAGTGTATTTAAATACAGGATGCAACACAAGGAGCAGAGATCTGGAGACTGGAGTTCACTGAGGATTCAGGTACACTTTTTGGGCAGTTTTGTAGTGTATATGGGGGAACATCTAAGATCCAACCTTTTGTTTGTTTGTTTGTTTTAGAGTTTGTATATTTTCTGTTTCCATGATGGACTTTCACTGGTTATTTAAATTTCTCTTCTCAGAATTGTTTTGCCTTTGTAACTTTTTACCCTTGTGCACTTCTAGTCCCTTTGCTGGGCTTATGACCGTTCTCATTCCTCCAGTTTTCACACACTTGATTGGGGAGGAAATCTGTTGTCCAATATAACTAGTTTATATCACTGGTCCTTTTCAGGACTTCATGCCTCCTGGCATTTCATCTAAAAACAGGATCATCACAGTCAAGATTTCTTCTGGAGTATTTCCTTTAGGATCTTAACAAAAAGTCCTTTCATGGCTTTGAGGAAAGAGGTTGCTAGGAAAACAAAAGGAATCATGATTGATCAAACTTATATGCTTGGGAGAAGTAGCCAGGAATGCTATATGATTATGGTATTTATATTGGAATAACGCTTTGTACCAGAAAAATAGGAACAAAAAAAAATGATGTGTACAGTGACTCAAGTCAAAAATAGAATTATGTTCTTGGTTACCTTGGATTTAGGGCCAGGATGTTTTCAAGCCAATGTATGCCCAGTGACTTACATGTGTGTTTCAGGTTTGAAGCATTATCTTAAGGTTGTTCGTGTTTTTTTTTTTTTCTTCATGTCTTTTATAAATTAATGGGGTAGTTCCCCTGTAAATGTTTAGCAGAGAGGTAAAAAGACCCTGGGCTATCAAATGTTTTATTTTGGAGCAGTTAAATGAAGTAGGTAAGCATATGTATTATCTGGGATATGAAGAACAAGTGAAGGCATTGTAGCTGCTTATTAGCTAGCTGTGTAAATGCCAGAGAAGAGTATACCTAAGTCCAAATGGCCTAGTTAGTGCTAATCCCCACTGTTTTGTTAGAACAAATTTAATCTGTTATAGAGTTCGTATAAATATAACTTAATCCACTTATCAAATAGCATCTGACGTCTCTGTGCTTGTGGCCGAGTGCTCTACCTTTATAAATCTAGGCAGGGCTCCCATGATCTCACCTACTGGAGTTTACAATCTAAAGGACAACAGAGTATGCACTGAGATGACTAAACAGCAGACAACACATTGGAAACTGTAACAAACAAATAAACACTGATAAAGAGTAGATTTTTATGTAAGCGCAGAATTAAGAACTTACTTGCTGTTCTTGTGCTTGGAGTGACTAAGGGCAGGATTGTGATTTACTCTTCCCTCACCCTGAGGAAAGTTACACAGAAGTGCTTCCTCCCCTTCCACTAATAAGTCTCCAGATGTAAGCATTTCTAATGAGATTTGTTCTGAGGTAGGGTGCAGAATATTTTGGAAAAAAAAAACAGTTTTGTTCTAGTACACTCAACATTTTTAATGCCAGTAATGTAAAATGTGACATATAAATAGCAGTTTTGATTTCTTTGGACTACTTTCTAAAAAAGTCTTTCTGTAGATTTCTCTTACCTGCTGCCTTAGATCTACTGGCACACACCTTACATCATATCTCCTTGTCCTGAAATACACTATGCACTGATGAGTGATTTTTCAGAGGTGAAGAAGGGAACCGTTCCTTTGAATGCTGTGAGTTCTGTTAAAAGCGATTGAAACACAGATTGAGGAGGCCACTGATTTAGTCCTACCTCATGTAACATGCTGATATGAGACCCAACAAGACTCCATTTTTCTGGTCCTAAGCTTTGTCATTTGTAAAGTGACAACATCAGTCCATGTAATAGAGTTGTGGTAAGGAAGTAATGAGCTTGAAAATCTTTAGAAAAGAATAACATGCAATACAAAATTATTTTAAGTATTACCAAATACCTTTTTAATTTTTTTTTTGAGACAGGGTCTCTG